GAAAGAGTGAAGAAGGCACGAGAGGAGCATGAGAGAGCACAAAGGGTGAATACTTAGGCTTTAATATTTCTGATAATTAGAAGAGTGTTGTAGTTATTTTGGTTAAAATGAATTGTAGAGAAGAATTGCTTTCATTTTAAGGCTTAGAACTAAATTTTAGAGAGTTGATTTCTGTCTTGGTTACTTGACCAATAATGAAATCTGGAGAAGAGAGCGTTGTACTGCATCTGCTTTTATTGCTTATGACTAAAACAGGCTCTGGAATCTCTACTAATCCTGTATTTCAAGAAGTCAGTTATTGTATGACTGTACTAGAATAGTTTTCACTGAAAATACATACATCTGCTGAAGTGGGAGGTTTTAAATTCAGGATAATACTTTGCTTCTCTTTCTCACTTTCTGACACAGTTTGCTTCCTTTTTCTTCATGCTTTACTGATATATTTTAATATGTTGGGGGTGGGAGTTAGTTCTAAAAAATGTAAGTTGAGGAGCTAAAACAAACCATACAGTTGATATTCAGTAAAAACACGCTCTGCGTAACTTATCTGCAAAAACATGCTAAAGTAAGAGTAGACATCGGTATTTCTTGTCAGTGGTTTTGTACATAGTCAAGTGCTTTGTTTCAGGCAGGTAGGCCATCACAATAAACAGTCTCAGCTATTTTTTTTCTCCTAAAACCAGTTGAGCAGTAGAAAACAGGCTGCAGTTCCATTGCTTTGTGTGGAATGATGTGCTTTCATCTGCAGGAGGAAGAAGCAAGACGACAGGCAGGAGGAGCTCAGTTTGGTGGTTTCCCGGGTGGCTTCCCAGGTATTTTATTGTTAAGCACCAATGCTTGAGGTAGAGGTGACTGTTGTTCCATGTAGAGGATTATAACCAGTTTTTAAAGCATTTGTTCTGAAGGCAGAGAGAAAAATATTTTAGGAGGTTTAGAACTTGTCTACAAATAACTCTTTGAGCACTAGTAGGAAGAGGGATGGGATTCTTTCTCTTAAAGAGGATTGATGCTGGGTAGCAAGTAGAGGGAAGGCAGAAATCAATAATGATCGATAACGGAAAGAAAGGATTTAGGTCTGAGGAAACAATGTGCAGTATTTGCTTAATAATATGTGCTGAAATACTAGTATAAAGCTGTCCTCTAACTGTTCACCCTCACCCAGGGTGCCTTGGACCCATTCTGCTTAAGAACAATAGTTTTAAAGTTGAAAATTTGGACTGAATATTAGGGAAACCTGTGCTGGTTGCTATTGTTGAACAGAATAGTTTCTCAAAGGAGGTAGTGCAGTTTACCTTATAGAAAAGCTGTCCTTGAACAGTTCCACGAAAACTGGGCTTTCCATGTTATTCTGGGGTACAATAAATTGGGGAGAAACAAGAGTAAGTACTAATGCTCTTGAAGATTGAGCTGTAGTTGAGGTAGGCTGCATGCATGCTCCGACTGGATCAGCTTGTCAGGGGAACCAAATAGAGACCTTATCTACCCTGCTCAGCACAGCTGGGGTAGCTGCTGATTAAGGATTCAGAAACAGAACCTCAAGCATTTTGCTTCAGGGATTTTTTTTTTTTTTTCCTTTGGTAGTACAATTTTTTCAAGCCTAAAGTTCCTGCCAACTGATCTGCTTTTGCCCTGAATTGTTCACCCCAGGCATTCAAACTCGTTATGTTCTGGGCTTGAGACCTACCTGATTTAAGTTAACCAGAAAAATATCTGTGTATAAGATGCTAGAATCTGACACTCATTACAAGCCTCCTATTCAATCGGGTTAAACCCATGGATGAAATAAGATGTAGGTCTTCACAGAAAGAGAAGGTGAAGCCTTATGGAAGACATGGCTTTAGGGGTGTGGCAAAGGAAGTATGTCTTGGTCTCTGTCAGTGAGCCTCCTGTATAGATGAATTAAATGTTTTTCTTCATGCATTCTTCTTGTCTTGGGTTTTCAGGTGGATTTCCTGGGGCTGGAGGTATGCCAGGAATGGCAGGTATGCCAGGTCTCAATGAGATTCTCAGTGATCCAGAAGTCCTTGCAGCCATGCAGGTGAGTATTTGTTAAAATCAAAGCTGAATGTTCTGAACGAGGGAAGAACAGCACCTATGAGCTAAAGGAAGGAAGAAAGATGTGACCTGGATAGCAATGGAATGCTTGCTTATTTCTGTTGTGAAATTCTCTCCTTGGGTGTGTGGCACCAGACTGTCTGGAATCAGTGTTAGCTATTTTTCAAACTGATGGGAGCTTAATTAAAGATGCCCCCCCTCCCTGCCCCATACTCGCCTATGATAGGCAAAACTATGTGCTATATAGAGTTCCTCATCTCTTGTGTCTCTTGGATGGCTGTTTTCCACACAGTGTAATTCGCTTGCTGCTTTTTTGAATGCACACACATTGTGGCGAGATAATTATGCACAAACAAAAAATGACACAATATATTACAACAATATTGAGATGAGAATTGCCTTTCTGTTAAGGGATTAAGTGTTTGGTTTTTGCCAGAGGCAAAGTAGTATCAGAATAGTTCTGCATCTGTCGTTTTCTAAATCCATGTTCAGAAAGCTTACTTCCCCAGTGGGCTCGATTAATTGCTCAATTAATTAATTGCTCAATGTTATGACTACTTGTACAAAAGAAACGTATTCCAGCAGATTAAATAGAACATATCTGACAACATCAGTTTTAGGGGCAGGTGGGCTAGGAGAAATCTGAGCTATATAGTTATATTTGCGTACTAATGTGATAAAGTATAAAAGCGTCTTGTTACTTTTTCTGGATTGCTGTGATTAAAGTAGATGTGTGGTGTTCTCATCTCATTGAAGAACTGTGATCCCCATCTAAATAAAAGCATCACAAGGGACCCTTATTTGGTATGCCCTGAAATCACAAAAAAGGCATCACTTTCCATGCAAAAGTTCATGGGTTCCCTTAATGGTTGGTGGTGTTTGGAAATACACCTTTACTTGGCTGCTAGAGTCAGCAGTGTTGACTTGCATGCAAACCATCCAAAAAAAGCCCATGACTTGTAGTTGTATTCATTACCTGGCCAATTTATGCTGTAATACAGGAATTTGAAATTAGAGTTGCTGAAAACAGAGTTTTGAGGTGCAGCTAAATATTAAGTGCTTGCCACATGCCTTTAAGAAGACTCCATTGCATGGTGATTATATATACCCCAACATATTGTAGGACTCCGTTGCAAGAATGCGCATTGATGATGTTTTCTGATAATGCAGGCAGGCTTTAACACGTAGAACCTGTCAGCAAAGCCTTGAGTCTCTTGCTGACCTCTTTGTACAAACTTTACATCTAGATATGATTTTTTTCAGCATTTCACCTATGTCTGCACGGCTGCCTTTTCCTAAAACGTCCAGCTGACTATGTTCTTGTCCTCTCTGAATTGGCAGTGTAAACTCTAGTCTTAAAAGACAGTAGTTTCTACTGCTTGGCTTCTGCTCGGTGCAACTGTGGAATATGTTGACGGCTAATGGTAGATGGCAGCTATTACGTAGGTTATCCGAGGTGTTACAAAAAAGTCTGAAGATACTGAATCACACAAGTCACTCCCAAATCCTTAATCTTAAGATACTGTTTTAACTGACAGTATATAGAGGCTTTTCATAGTGAGGAGTTACTGCTGAAACTGGAGTATGCTGAGAGTAAAGACCTTCTTCTCAATCTCTTTACACTTAGTGACTATCGTCTCATCATCTTTGAGACTATTCTCCATGAGTTAACACTGAAATATGCCTGAGTCTGTTAACATCTCAGTAACCTTTACAACTGTGTGTGCCTGAACACGAGCTAGATTAAACTGGTTACGCTGTCAACTTCAGCTTGTCATCTGTAGAAGCAACCGAAGAACCAGATATGGCTGCCTAAGGACATGTTTACAGAAGTTATTGCTCATCATTGGCATAAAGATGATAATGTCTGCAAACTAGTATAAAAACTTCTTTCTTGATGAAGATTTCTGGTTCCATTACGTGAAGATTTATTGTCTTCAGGATATTTTTTTTCTTTCCTTTTTTTTTAAATGGTAGCTGATACTAGTCGTCTTAACGGTGGTAGTTTTGATCTTTTGCAGTGACTTCTAATGCATGTTATTTTAGTTCATTTGCCCCTAAGCTTTTTAGTCTCCAGAAGAATTGGCTGAAATTTGTGTGTGTGTGTTTCTCTTATTTTACTATTGTGGCTCTCTGGAGGGTTCTGTAGTACTTCCTCTCTTTTATGTGCAACTGCTTTCTCTGGACACAACATGACATTTGTGTTTTGGAGAGCTGTCATGGGTCAAATATAAGTTCTTTTCAAAAGCAGTGATGCGTAAGATGAACCTATGGATTCCTTATTTGACATGTAGTCATATGTTAGACCCAGACTTCCACCAAAACGTGTAAGTTGGAAAAAAGAATAGTGATAACTTTTTTCCTTAGAAGTATTTTTCATCCTTCCGCAACTAATGACTGGACCATTAGAAAACTGAATGTTTCACTAACGTTGTTTACGCAATGGTTCTCATTCCACCTTATGCACTAAATATTTCCCTATGGAAATGTTGATATCTTCAGTCTTAAATTTTATTGTGATAATATTGCTCATCAATGTGAAACCTTGGATGTGTTAAACATTTTTATAAACACAGTCTAAGGTTGAGGGCTTCCAGGGAGTTGCACAAGTACAGAGTAATTTACTTGCTGTGAACTTACAGGATCATGAAACACGTAGCATAAAATTGGGTATTTAACATTCGTTTAGGTGTGCTTTGACACAAACCAGTGATTAAGCTTACTCAGCTTTTTGTTCCGGATTCATTTACAGGTGAAAACACAGATTTAACAACATGACACAATCTTTATAGTCATGTGCCCTATTTTGAAATCGGAAATTCAAGAAGTTTGAGGTTGTGAAAGTCATCTTTTTTTCCTTTGCATTGGAATCCTGTAGAGAAAATATATCTAGTGTCTGTTTTCTGAATTTCAGCATCCTATTTTTCATAGACTTTTGCACATTGCCTTTTGTGAGGGAGACAAAACACTTGTAAATCCTTCTAACAAAAGCGAAGACTTGACTCGTGGTTCCCAACATGTATAAAACATGACTGAACGATGTGGGTGATTTCAGTGGAGTCCACACCTACTAAATGCAATTTTGGATCAGACTTGTTAAACAGCTTTTGTCTGTGTCTGATGCTAGAATAGATACAGGGTGGTGTTATTGTAACACAGACAGCTCCGAGGACAGCAGCTGGTTTTTGATGGTTTCCAAAGAATCCATCTGCGGTAGCAGTGGGCTACAAGTCTAGGGAAGATCGTATCTTTCAGTGAAACTACTTAAATGTGCTAGAAAGAACAGGAAATGAAATTACAGCTGATGCAGATGATTCGTATTGGACATAATAAACTGCTTGCACTTTAGGTGGATTAAAGAAAACCTGAATCTTTGCAGAAGTTGCTTATAATGGAAACCTTTTGCCAGGCTGAGATGTAAAATTGGTCTATACAGATTTATTAAAGGGCACTGTTCAAAACATGCACATGTGAAATGAGTAAAAACGATTCTAGTGTAATGGAGGCCAAAGGTGTACTAGAAGTGCAGAAAAAAGTATTAATGCTTCTCATACTAAATAGAGAAGATGAAGTTGGTATTCTTTTGACCACTGACTTTAATGTATATGTGAATATATTTATTAACTGAAACACAGTAGTGTGATGAGAGGTAACAAGGTTCTTTTCTAGTTGTGATTTATCAGAGGTGGTGGGGAATGACTGAGAATTAGATGCATTTTTAAAAGCCAAACATTGCCACATCATCTGCTCACAGTCCAGCAGATCAAAGTTTCTGCTGCTGGAAGGAACAGAGGTGAAAGGGAGGAGTAGCAGCTATTGCCTGGAGGAGGGTTATCCTATCGTGTGCTACACACATAGAGCTCCTGCCTCCTTCAAAATGCATTTGAAGATGCCTGAATAGAAATAATCCAGTAGGTGGGGCTGTGTTTGATGGCTCCTGTTTTGGGTAAAAAGAACTCTTTATCTTACCCTCCTTCTCACACATTGCGCTATTACTGTAACAAGTTCAGAAATGACTGGTGTTTACTGATGCAGCATCAACAGCATGTGCTGTATCATTGGGTTCTTTTTAGAGACGTCTTGCCCAAAACTCTGATCTAGTCTTGTCATGTGAAAAGCCGAGCAAGACTAGATTCATGTTGTAACAACATAACCACTAACTTTTGTAGAATTGTTTTACAAATGCCCTCATTTTTTTGCGTTTTGTCCTGCAGGATCCAGAAGTTATGGTTGCGTTCCAAGATGTTGCCCAGAACCCAGCAAATATGTCCAAGTACCAGAACAATCCCAAGGTCATGAATCTCATCAGTAAATTGTCTGCCAAATTTGGCAGTAAACCATAATATCCCTGGTTCTTAAAAATCATATCTGAATGGGAAGGATTGGATTTGGCTAACCAGTGTTGCAATAAAACAAACCATTGTACCTCTGATCTTCTTAAGAAGTGAAACGGGGTGTTCTAAGGAGAACTGCTCTCTAGCCCCAAGTGTTGACTTTATTCAATGATTGGTTTATAGCACTCAAATTATATTCAGATGACCTAGTTTAAACCATCCCTCCTTGTCCAAGAGTTGCAACCTTTTATTATAAGTATTACAGACAGTTTCCTTTGAATGAGCACTCCTATAAGAAATCATAATATTCCAGGAGTGTAAGGTAAAAACCTGCTGTTGTGTTATTTTGGATTTTTTTTTTTTTAATTACTCTCAGTGAGCAAAGAGGAGGGAACTTCAACAGCTGAAGTCTGTCTTAATCCCCTTAGGACAGAAAAGTTGGCCTAGTCACAAACAGAAAAGGTGGGACAAGTCTGAAGAATTAACTGGATAAAGGAATTGTCTGCAAATAAAAGTCCTTATGTTTTTTTTTTTTAAATGGGTGACTGACTTTATATAGCTACTAAAATTATCAGTATAACCATGCTGGCTAGTTACACACTGGAACTTCTGGCAGTACTGCAAATAATGTAATATTTTGATCACCACAACTGTGCAGCAAAGGTACAGTCCTATCCTTTGCACCACCTGGCATGAAGTACATATGGCAGAGGCCCCAGAGGTTTTGTTACTTGCTCAATTCTTGTCCAGCACCTTTCTGTAACATTTTATTTATCAGTCTGGGTATGGGAGAGCAGCTTATTGTCTGTGCTTGTGCTCTTGTCCTTTCCCAGTTGGCAGGTCCTCAGCTGGTTGCACTTGCCCTTCTTTGGGGCCATGCTTACCAGGTTTCACCTATTTGGAAACTTTAGAGAAGGAATCTTGTTCTCATTGCTACCTCTGTCCCACTGAATGCAAGCCATCCAGAACATGTAAATGCAGAGTTATAAATCAGTGAAGGGGAGAATACCCAACAAAATTGCAGCTCTGGGTTCTGAGTCAGTTTGAGTCCTTACATGCTTACTGATTAAAATTTCTTGGCCAAAGTCCTGCTGTCTCTTTAGCGGTGATGACTCTTCCTTCACCACATGCTGTAGTCTTCCATCTTTTCTTGTATCCTTTTCTTTAAAAAAAAAAAAAAAAAAGAAAAAACACAAACAAAAACCACACAAAAAAACCCAAAACCCAAACCCACAAAAAGCTGTTGTCATGGTTTCATACTTCCATGGTTTTGAGGCTTGTGATACGGAGGAAAAGGTGAAGTAATTGGAGCAGACAGAACATTCTTCTAACACTTGCAGATTAACAGCATGGGTATCCTTGAAGCAGTGTCTGTGCTGATGATGTTCAGTTGATTGTCTACCAATGAAGACAGTTGTTGCTTCTGTTTGTCTTACCTAAAACGTTATCTTTCTGTGGAAAAATGACGATAGTTACCTGTTCACCACTTGAGTCTCAACATTTGTGTTACTCTTTTGTAATTCTGTATCTTAAGCCATAACAGATGTTACCATTTTTAAATAAATCTGGATTGGTGTAGGAACTCGACAACAGTTGCAAAAAATAAATCCCCAAATGCTTTTTCTCAGACTAATGACCCTGCAGAATGAAATGTGAATCTTTTTGCTTAAGAGATATAGTTCTGAATACTACTCTTAGCCTTTAAAAATAAAGTATGGTTTTGAAAAATAAAGCTTTTTGGGTTTCTGTAACTTTCTGAGAAAACCTATTTTGTTTAAATTAAATGTGGAAGTGCTTCAATTAAACTTGTATATACAACTTGTGGCTTAAATTGGAACTAAAAGCTGAAGGGCTTGTCTTCATGACAAAATGAACTCGAATTATGATTGAGTGTTGCTGTGTGCCTGGCTTTTGGTCATACTCTTGATCTTCTTTTCCCAGGAGGAGATACTTGAAGTAGGTCACCTCTCAGTATAGGCTGAAACTCAACTTCTTCATTCAGGCTGGTGTATATGTGCTATGCGTGAATTGGAACATCTTGAATTTATTCCCTACAGTTTCCTGTTACTCCATCTTAGCTGTTTGTGTCTGTCTACCCATGACTAAAAGTAGGAAGTTACTGCTAGCTAGTAGAAATGGTCATATCTGTGTCCTGCCTGCTTGCGTCCACATCAGTTGCCCTTGTTGCTGATTGACTCAAGAAAAACGTTCTCCCTAATTTTGGTGTTAGCATTAGCAATCTAGCTGAATTCTTGTGATCCTTTGGGAATGCACATCCCATGACTCCCTTGGTGTGGGGTTTTTTTTGTTTTTAATGTTATCTCGTAAGTTAACTGAGGAGATGTCTGGACCTCATCTCAGTTCTCCAAGTTGGCATGTGGGCATCCAAGCAGCTAAACTGCTTTGAACAGAAGTGCAAGTGCAGAAAGTTAACTGTCCAGGACATGAGCAAAGATGATAAGTTCCAAATGTGGGATATAAGTAGCTATATGAGTAAGTTGTTATTTTGTTCAGTGCTTGCTCCAGTATTTACTGGCAGCTCCTTCGGGTTATTTGCTTCCATTGCAGCACAGAGCAGGGGTGGTTCTTACAAGTGCGGTGGCAGTAATCAGCTTAGCTGACGACTTGACTCTAAAAACACTTGAGCTGCCCTGCTTCAGGTGTGCGTTTCTGCCGTTTGAAGCAAGTGGTGTACTGCGCTGTTTGGCCAGTCCGGTGCCACAGGTTAGATGACCTGGTCTGCCAGAGAGTATGGTGATACACTTGCAGTCGGCTGGTAGTAAAGGGTCGTAGCCCTATTGCATCGTGTGGGTGAGTCGGAGTGACTTGTCCGCCCCCTCTGTGGCTCAGCTGCTGCCCCAAGGGAAAATAGGAAATGCCAGGTCAGATGCCACTTCCAGACTGTACTACACAGTGAGCCCCGTTGCATCGTAATGTGGCGAATGCAAGGCTTGGTGCCTGTCTCATAATTTGCCAGAATTTTTTTTTTTTTTAATTTCTCTCACTTCAGTGTTGGGCCGTGAATAAAAGCTGTTTGTCAAAGTGGCTAGGTTTGTCTTTGTTGGAAGGCAGCGATCAGATGGGCAGGAACCAGCCTGTCTCAAAGTCGGGTGAAGGCAGGTGGAACAAGACTGGGCAGAGCAGTGGCAGGCCAGAGGCAGAATGGGTCAATAAATGAGTATTAAAAAGCCGTGTAGAAACAGCTTGTTGCAAGTGGCCAGCAGTAGTATCTGTAGTTTAAATCCGTCTTTGAACGCCACTTCGTTTTTCTTGTTTGTTACCTTCAGGGCCTTTGCATAAAGCTCATACGAGCCACACTCTCGTATGTGCCTGTACATCCCTCTTCTGTGAGGTGTAAGAGCGAACAATATTGTTATGAGAGCTCGTAGCCACTGCTGTCTGAGCAGAATCCTTCACCCAAAGGATGGGAGGTTGTGGACCTAGCCGGGGCGAGTCGGAGCCAGGTCAGCTGTGGCATGTACCTTCCTGTGGATCATGGCGTACTCCTGACTGGAAGTGTTTGGAGTCCCTTTGAAATCCCACAGGGCATCTAGGCTGGGGGATACTGCAGTGCTTTCAGGGCTGTAGGGCAAGTGGGTTGTTGGGATAGTGGTAGAGGCTTTTTTCCTTTCATTGGCTGCAGGGTAGTCTGATAATGGCTGGTGTCAGTCCAGAAGTGGATTGGCATCCTCGAGCAGGAGGGTGATTCACTAGGAAAACGGTAGCAGTATTTTCTTCTGATGTCTAGAGAAAGGTGTCTCATGAACCATAATCAGAGCTTTGCAGAGGTGGGCCTCAACCTTACTTCATATGTGACGGAGTGAGGGCGGCGTTGTAGAAAAGCAATTCTGGATTACCAAAGAGCTGAAATGGAGTAAAAATGGCAACTTCCAACTGGATGCAGAGACCACTACATTGAGTACTACAGGACAAGTCATAGGAGGTCAGTAATATGATGTAAGCAAATACAAATACAGAGGAAGCAGGAACAGTTTTAATGGTGACAAAGAAATGAAGCAGGTCAGGTGGTGGCTGGTGGATCTGTGCTATGGAGCAACAAAAAGATTGAGGTGACTTTGGGCTACTACAAATAGTTGATCGCCTTGTGAATCAAGAGTTTAGGTAAGTCACACTCTCCTGGTGTGGTCCTCACAAACAGGAACCTTATGCGAGACAAACCTTCCTTCACCCCTGCTGGCTGGAGGTCCTATTGAATGAAACCGAGGACTTTCCTGTAAATCTGAATCTTGATGACTAACCAAATCAAGATGTTAACTTGTAATCTTGCTAATGAAGTGTTATTACTGTACCTGTCTTTGATGTACAAATACGCTTTTGAAATGTATATTCCAGATGGATGGTCTCAGACAAACTGGAGATCTTGTCAGTAAATAAATGTATTTGCAGAATGTGTTATGACTCTAGTTGTAAAGTAAGTGGGTAACAAACTTTGGCACCTTTGTGGTTGCAGACATTTACTAAAACCAGGATTTTTTAAATGTACAATCATTTCAGTGGCTACAAGGAATACAAGTTGCTACTAGGTGTAAATAAATTAAATGTGAAAGATTACAGGATTGAGGGTAGCAGTTTATCTTGGAATTTCTTCCTGAAGTACAGCAGCTGAAACAGTCAGATGGTAAGCATAATTTGTATAGAACAAAGGTATTCAGAAAGAAAAGGTGTTTATTTGTGAACTATAAAGTAAATAACAAGGAGGTGAGGTCTAAATTAGTTAATAGTAAAGGGAATTCCATTATTGAAACCTTTGGTTTTCTAAATCTAATGTTCTCACTTTGGAGGGTGAGAGTTTCTAGAAATGAGTTAGTTTGCATCTTGCATTCCAGAAAGAAAAGTATCATAGCAGAAAATCAGAGCAGTCACCTAACAACCAGTGCAGTGTTTAATAAAATTACCTTTTAAAATAGGCTGAAGGTACAAGTTATGGGGAAGTCATCAGAATTAGATGGAAAAATATCAAGGTATTACACGGAGAATGAAGCGGCTGAGCTGCTGCCAACTGCACTGCCTCTCACTAGAGAAAATTCACACTGAAGCTCAGCCACTAGTGTCTAGTTCTCATCTGGAAAAGAAA